CAGCTTCTTGGCCTCTGACAGAATCTTCTAGAAATACATCATGAAAATATTGATGTTTCTTGTCTATGTTCATTGTTGAGAATAGTGTATGTCCTACTGAAATAAAGAGCAACTGCTGTAGAGTCAGGAATGAGCCATGTAAAATAAAAATGTCTGAAAATATGCAAAGACAAGTTGTCAAATTGTACATATTAACCATTTTCAGATATTTCTAAGTCAACCATTCAACAATGAAGTGAATCAACATGACATAAAAATACATTTCTTGTGTTCTTGGTAAAGAATGGTGAGTGTACAGGGTAGAGAAATCACTTACACATTAAGAGTGTGTTCTGAACTTGCAGAGGACCCAATTTCAGTTCCCAGTGCTCACAGCAGGAAGCTCACACCTGCCTGTGACTCCAGTTCCAGGGGATCCATCAATGCCCTCTTCTTCTCTTACAAGCACCAGAACTCATATGCACACATTCACACATCATTTAATATGTGTGTGCTCTTACACCAGGCTAAAGAAAACCCACTTTTACCATTGCCTTTTTACAATTTATCAGGGACCATAGCTTGGTTTGTGTATTAGGGTAACTGTGGCCTCATAAAATACTCTTTTTATATTTTGTGGAATAACTGGAGGAATATTGGCATTATGGCAGAATTTTGTGCTAAATCTATTTTTTTTTTTGCTGAGGATATATTTTATTGACTGCTGCTTTGAGGTCAGTAGTGGTTTACAGGTCCACTTAAATTGCTTACCTAATCTTTATTTAATTTTTATCCTTTATAAGTGGTGTGCATAGAGAAAATTATCCATTTCTTCTAGATTTTTCCAATTTGGTGCAGTACAGTTCTTAAAGTATGTCCTTAGGATTCCTTTGATTTAACCTTCTCTATTTTTATATCTCATGTTCATGACTTATTTCTTAATTTAGATATTTTTCCTATGGTTTATTTAAGTTGGATAAGGGTTTGTCAATATTGTTTTTCCTGATGACTAAAATTGCTTTATGGATTCTTTGTATTTATTTTGTTCGTATTGCATTAAATTCAAACATGAGTTTGATTATTTCTTGCCCTATCCTCCTGCTGGGTATGATTTCTTCTTTTTGTTCTAGAGCTTTTTGGTATGCTGTTAACTTCCTTGTATTATACCTCTACAATATTTTATTTATGTACTTAATGATCTGACAATAAGTTTGGGTATATCAATTATGTATGTCACTGTGATCTGTAATCATTTTGGTAGCTATCTTTCTAGCACCTATTATCTATCTGTCATCTCCGAATCTATTATTTATCTACCATATATCTAGTAATCTTTGTATTTTTCTATGTATCTATATGTATGTATGTATCTATCATCTATCTATCTATTATCTGTATACATAAATATATATATAAACACACATATTAGCTATCAATCATCTTTTTTTCTATCCTCTTCATTCTATCAATCAAATCATTTGTAGTCATTTATATATTTGTGATTTGTTAAACTATTTTTCCCATCATCTATTTTTACACATCTTTATTCTACTCATTATCTATATATCTCTGCTTCTCATTCATCTAATATTCATATATAATCTAAATTTTTTCTTTTTGGTTTTTGTAGACAGGTTTTCTCTGTGTAATTTTGGTGCTGTTCTGGATCTTGCTCTGTAGATTAGGCTGGCCTTGAACTCACAGAGATCTGCCTGGCTCTGCTGCCCGAGTGATGGGATTAAAGGCATGCACCACCACTGCCGGCCTGTCTATGATTTCTTATAAATATCTTTAACTATCATATGTCTTCCTGTGTATTCACAACACATTTTTCTTTTCAAAATAAGCACAGTCTTGAGGGTTCAAATGTAGTTTTCAGTCTCTCAGTCTCCTCTCAATAATTTTCATTCACCCTGAAACACAGA